GTAAGGACAGACTAACAGACATTGCAACATTACACACAAATCATAAAGATAAGAATAATAAAGGTAAACAACAGAAAACAGGAAACACATCACAATCATACATTAAAAGCTTGTTCAAAGAGGTGAGTTTTGATCAGTGATTTGAAAGTAGGAGGGTCAGTGCAGTGTTGAATGTGTGTGGGGAGTGAGCTCCAGAGGGAGGGGGGCAGCTATGGAGAAGGCTCTGTCCCCCCAGGTTCGGTGCTTGGTTCTAAGAGGGGGAGATAGGAGGTTTTGAAGAGCGGAGGCTGCGTGCAGGAGTGTGAGGGTGAAGGAGGGGGCCTAGTGGTTAAGGGCTTTATGTGTGAGGAGAAGGATTTTAAAACCATATCGTTAAAGGTCGAGTGAGTAGTAATGTTTTTTGCAGCTTAGGCACCTCCTCCTGGGCTCAGCGCCACCAGAAGCACACGCCCACACATACATTTAGTGCTTGTTAGTACACTGCAAGCTTCCTGACAATATTTCATCCTTTGTAAAGGAAAATCCAATACTTTAGAAAGCTAACCACCGCTGTTTGGCACCTGCCTGTCCAACAGGAAGCAAGCTAACTCTGTGTCACTCTTCATCAGGCGGTTGTGACTCATTGGTAGAGTTGGTCAACTCTCAACTGGAAGGTCGAGGGTTCGATCCCCAGCTCCTGCAGCCACATGTTCGGTGAGTCCCTGGGTTGGTGATTAAACAATAAAACATAGAAATAAAATCCCATTGCTGAAATACTTGCATCCATTTAAAAAACTGTATGATGATGAAAACAATTTGTGTTTACAGTCTAGTTACATGCTATGCTGCACATAACCCACTAGATGGCAGCAAAGCTTTACAAATAATTTAAAATGCATTTTTCTTCATCAAACACCTGTTAACATGAGCCTCTTCCTGACAGGCTAATTTAATAAATCCTCAAGCTATAGGAAGGATTCTTGTTTGACTTATATTGCCTTTAAATGAAGTAAAAGTTGTGTAATTTTAAGTCTTTATTTCCAATATTCTTCCATGGTGTATCGATCCCACTGAGACTGGTGGCTACATGCACAGTTTAACCCTTATATTTTTTTTTTTTTATTTTCTATTACTTTATTGCAGGCTGTTTTACTACATTACAAGTTGTCATATTTTATCACAAATTTTGTTCATCCTGGCACATTTTTATATATTATTTTTAAAACATACAAGAACACATACAACATGAAATAAAATAAAAATCCAAAGAAAATTTATGAAGAGAAAAATATAATTAAAATAAGATTTAGAAAGAAAAAATAATACTAATAAGTAAAATAATAATAATAATAAAATTAAAATAAAACTGTAAATAAAATGGGGGAGGGGGGGTTGTTCTCACTACTCTCTTAATTTAAGTTTAACCCTTATTGATGATATGAAGACCTCCATTAGTAAGAGGTACTTTTATTTAATTTAGGAACATGTTCAAGAAATAAGACCAAACCTCTTTGAAAAAATGAAAAAATGTAAACGCTGTAAGCTGCACTCATGCACATTCAGTTCATAATGAAAACATCCTATTAACTTTCTGTTTTCCTACTCCTATACCTACTTTGTTTCCATAAAACTTGACAGCGCCCCTGGTGGTCTGTACTTCACCTACAGCTGTCTTTTTTTACCATTCACAGAGCTGCAGATCTGTGGATAACGGACTCCTGTGAACCTGCTCCGCCTGTCTCTGAATACTCACAGCTTCAATAAACAGCAGGAACGCCGACATGGACCCACAGTGAGCGGTAAGCTGGAGGTTAATGAAGTTGTGTTACCTTTCTTTTGTGTGTAAGGTGCTGAAACTGAGTGTTTTTGTCTTCCATCTGTTCTGAAATTATGTTGTTATTGTTGCTGAAACAGTAAATAGTAAATGGACTTGAGCTTGTATAGCTCTTTTCTAGTCTTCTGACTCCTCAAAGCGCTTTTACACCGCAGGTCAAACCTACACATTCACACACTGATGGTCGAGGCTGCTGTGTGAAGTGACCATCAGAAGTAACTCATCCCATTCATACACATTCACCCTCGACCTTCCTGTTGAGAGATGACCGACTCTACCAACCGAGCCACAGCCGCCCCTGAAATGTCCTAAAATAATCCACATTTCATGACAGCCCCACAAACCGACCTGTTGTCGCTTGTTTATTATTCTGAATTCTGATTTCTTAATCCAAAATTTAAAGAAACCACGTTTAAGAATCCTCCATGTTGCCTTTTCTGTGTCATAAGAACAATGGGCTCTAAAGGCGGATGATAAAAGGCACAGTGAAGAAATGTAAACCTCCGAGGGATAAATCATGAAATGTCAAATGTCTGAATTTTAAGTTAATGCTCAAAGACTTTTTCTGTGCTGTAGATTTTTAAACATCAGCTGAATGGAAACAGAGCTGCTAAGACAAACAAGGACTTACTGCTGCGAACACTCACAACCCCCTAAATGGAAGTGGCCTTAAATCATTAAAGTGGAGACCTGACTGTGTTACCCACAGACCTCCACAGTCTCCCATGAGGTCAGGCTGAAGTGGAAAAGGACAGAAAGATGGATGAGAGGAGAGAGGACTTGTTTAGTGTTGAGGGTCTGATGGACATGCGGCAGAGGGGGGGGGGGGGCACTCTGACACTGTGTATGTGTGAGTGAGTGGGCTTCATCTTTATTTATTCAAAGGAAAGTTTCTTGGAAAAGTCGGTAGCAAGCCAACATCTGTGTCGTTAAGCACCTTGGGACCTTGAACCTTCCTTTTCTGGAAATGATACCACAGCGATTGACTTGCTTTCAGAAACAAGATTCCTGTTCACATGTTTGCTTCCCAACAATCCCAGTTGCTATATCAGTCACTCAGCACATGTTTTCATTTGAGTGCAATAACATTTTTGGTTGAAAAAATAAGAGACAGAATCAGATCTTTAGTCTCATTTAGAAAAATTGTGATTCACATTTTTGCAAGAATCGTGCAGCCCTAATGAAAACTGTTCTGAAAGTTTACGCTGCATCAATTACAGCCTGTGTGACGGCTTCCCTCCGAGGCAAACTACTGAAGCAATCAGTCTCTTTTAGTGACTTAGACCCTGAAATAATCTTATTTAATCTCGCGCCCTTTCAATCATGAGTGAGTGACAGTTTGGTGAGGAGTTACGAGATGTTAGGTGAAATTATAACCTGAACGTCGGTCGAGAAATAGCTCAATAAACTGGCACCTGAAGCCGCTTTTACATTTCTATATGTATGCAGGTAAATAAACAGAATATAAAGAGCAAATAAGACACGTTTGGAGCTGTCAGACGACATGTTTTTTAAGGCGACTTCGAGTTTTAATATCTCATACTGAGCATATTTCCAATTATCCATTCAACAGAGATTCATAAGAGGAGTCCTCACTGAGATACTTGTCTAACCTCTGCAGTGTCCCCCTGTGTCTGCCTGTGTGTGTGTGTGTGTGTGTGTGTGTGTGTGTGTGTGTGCGTGTGCTCAGTTCTATTGCCCCAGTAAAAGGTAAACCTCAGAGACTCCTGGGGTTTCAAACGTCAACACATCCCGCCTTGTTAAAACCGGAGCGAGCTGAATGATTTGAAGCATTAAAAGTCAATATTTCTCCGTGACACGCCGCTCGCCTCACAGTGGAGCTCTGTGTGCGGGACAAGGCGCCCATTCAGGGTTGTGACGCCCGGGCTCGGGCTCAGGGTCGCTGCTGGTTTGGGGGGTTAAGAGCTGCTGGAAACCACTGCAGGCCTCCTCTACAGCCGGTCATTGATTAATGGAAGTCCTTGGAGATAGACACATTCAGTGCCTGAGGGTTAAAAAACAGAATGTTGAACTTTGATGCGACATTAGAAAAAAACTGAAGATATCGATACCTGTTTCTCACCACGGCAACAAAAACAGAAGTTAAAGGCGCCTTATATTGATCTCACTATCTGATCATTAAGGAAACATGCTATGTTGAAGTGCTGGCTTCTCTGACAACAATGCAGCAGCCAGTATGTCCTCCTTCTAACTTTAGATTCTGCTCCTGAATGCTCTGGATTTGTTTGGACCAGAGAAGGTAGGTGCTTTTAAGACACGCCCCCACACGACCGTTTTGGACGCCCTCGGTTTGCCAGATATGAGAGCAGTTATCAGGTCAACAGGTGTTGCAGCGATGGAAGCGGGCAGGAGAAGTGGTTCAGATAGAAGTGATTCTTTGTTTATTTATGTCGCACTGGGCTGCACGGATTCTCTGTGTTTTATTGGTGTAACTTGAAACTGTCAGGATTAAGTGAATGTCACGTCACTGATGCGTTACATTAAACCAAACCGTGACTTTCTGGTGACTCTGGAGGCCCGATGTGATTTCTTTGTTTAGGTAAACAAAATGTTTGTCAGAGTTAATGACATTTCTTGTTGACTCTTGCTTCTCGTTAATTTGCACATCGATGATACTGCTGCTGAGATCGACCACCGTGACCAAGACTCTCTCACGGCTACCTGTCAATCACAGGTGGCCCCGCCCTGACTCCTCCCCTCCTCTCTGGTCTCTCTAACTCTAAATGGGACCCTAATTTACTAAATGAACATCGTGCTGTGTTGAAGAAGACTTGAAAGTACAGATTGAGACCATAAAGTCGTTTGGAAAATGTTTTATCATCTGAGAAGTAGGAGCATTTTCTTCTGTGAGTAGTGAACATGCCGATCCCACGACGTGCCTGTAAGACCATCCAGAGGGCAAAACACAACCTGGTGACCAATTTAAAAAAATGTGTCCCCCAAAAAATAACAATACAGTCACACACACTTACTCTCACACAGTGCCGACATCCCGGCTATTCACAGAGTAAAGTTTGCTCTGCACAAACAGGAATGCTTTGCTCCCCCCTCTGTCTCCCCCATCACACACACACACACACACACACACACACACACTCCTTTCCTCCGTCCCGCCTCACACCCCCCCACCGTCCGTCCTGCACACACTCCGGTCAGCGTGCCACTGTGTGCCGATGTGTAACAACTTCTCTCTCTTCTCTCTCTCCCACCATGTGAAGCGTCGGGGATCTGTGCGGCTGCTTTGAATCCTGGATCGTCTCTTTGGTGATGGTGGAAAAGTACGTTTATCTCCTGATTTAACGCTGAGTTCTGCTTGTTTTCATGTTGTTTCTTATCTGTTTCTGATGCCTGCCTCTGCCTCTATGCACTGAATCTCCTCTCTGAAGCCTCTTTCTCTTCCTTTAATGATCTATAACATGACCTTAAACCTCTCTCTCCTCCGCTTTTTAAGCCCATCATCAGCTCATTGACGAACTCCCGAGCCTACATGTAGCGTGAATGGACATGTGAAGGGTTAATTTAATGTGTAGTAAGAGCTGAGATAGGATGTGGGGGGATTTGGGAGAGAGATTCAGAGGTGGAGACAGGAGAAAAGACCCCCTGATCTGCATCAAACACCTCCTTTATGCATCCTTAAATCACGTCTGAGTGAAAGTTTTCTCTTTCTTACTTTTCTCTGGATTTTAATGTTGAATATTTCTTCAACCTGGACGAGTCTTTTCTCACTTTTTCTCACAGTATCTTCAGTGTTAGTGAGGTTCTCTGTCCTATGTTTGAACATTTTGTAGCTTTCAGTGCAGCATTTTCTGTCTGTGTGTTTCCAGTAAGGTTGCCACAACACCAGAGTTTTAAACTTTCATTCAATTCTAGCAAAGCTCAAACGATAGCCAGACTTTTTTTTTTTTTACATCATCATGACCAGTAAACAAGCAAATGAACTTTTGTCAAGTAAGAGCCACATGTTGCTTCATGTTTGTATCTCTTTTTAATATGAAATATTTTTGCAGCTGCTACCTCAGAATTTGCAATAAAAGTCGCAATTCTTTTCTGCCTTGTCCTCCAAAATGATTGCTGGGAGTAATAGGATGAAGATTGACTGATAGAGGTTTGCAGATTAATCACGTTTACAGTATTTTGAGTATTAGTCATTACAGAACGATAACAGTTCCTAGCTTCATAGTAATCATACAAAATATTCTTCAGGCTGATTTAAGGACTCAGTTTTCATCTGGTCGACTAATCACTGTGAAAGTTTGGATTGACATTCTTATATTACTTCATACTGCATTTGCATCTTTTAGACTTATTTAAACTGGTTGAAGAAGAGGAGATCTTATTTTATGCATTCTTCCTCCTCGTCTTCCTCGTTATAAAATCCTCCATGAGGACTCTGGATGTTCAAAGAGAAACCCGTGACTTCGTTCTCGACCTCAGGGGAACAATCTCAGACCCACTGGATTTCTTTTTTTTTTCCAGGAGCTGTGACCCAGATCCCACAGTCCGAGTGTGCTCAGTTGTGACCAGTCTCGTGACTGAAGTGGATACAGGTTGGAGATAGTTGGTACAGTTGAAGTAAGAGTGCAGCTGTTTGTGAGGGGATGCATGCATCACTTTATACATTATTAACCATGCAATCAGTTTTTATGGCACATTTTTTCCATACTGCATAATGCAGCGGTTAGTGCACACGCCTCATATACAGAGGCTGTAGTCCTCCAAGTGGGCGGCCTGGGTTTGAATCCGACCCTGTGGCTTCCTTTACAGCATGTCATTCCCCCCTTTCTCTCTCTCTCTCCCTGATTTCAGCCTCTTAGCACCTTAGCATCTGGAGAATCTGTGACGCTTATAACAGTTGTGTCATCGGCCAGAAGTCTGTCGCCTGGAGTCCGAAGGATTTAAGGCGGGATCAAGAGACCTGTCAATCATTTACACTTCAGAATTAATGGAAGAGGATGCTGCAGGACTGGGGCTGTCAATAATCAGCCGGTTGAAGATATTGTGTGTTTTTCTTGTAATCATTACGTTCAGTTGCCACTCTCAGTTCCACCAAGTTGTCAGTTATTTGGAGAATGATTTTCAAATTTGTATTCAATAATATAGGAACAGCTGAGCCCTGTTAGCTCATCTATGTCAGCCGTCCCTCTCTGAAATAATGTCAGTGCATGTTTTATTCACATTACACAAAATCAGAGGGCTTATACGTTTGTGTAAGATTTAATCACCTCTTTTATCCTACGCCTCATCTTCTGGTTTGGTAAAGTTGATCATGCTTTAACAAACTTTAACTAGATAATGGCTGCACGCTAGACGACACACAAGTGTCATAAAGTGAGCGAGAACAGGACGGGGACATAATGTGAGACGGTCGACAACATTGCAATCAAAAAGTTAAATACTTCAAGTTTTTGCATCACAGAATTTACAGCCAGATTTCACAGAGCGTCCTCAAACACACAGAAACACGGCAACAATCAAACCTCAGCTGTTCTCTGAATGAGTGAAACAACAAGATCAGTTCTTTTACTTTAGTTATTCCTACTTTGGAGAGAATTCCATCTTTATTTCAAGTGTGTAATTTTACAAAGAAGCTGCATTTTGTTGCTTCGAGCATCTCTAGTATATCGTCTTATTGCATCATTGTTTTGCATTCGCAGTACAACTCGTTATCAGACGTCTTTTGTGTTGTTGTTGTTGTTGTGAGTTTATGTGAGTGCAGCGTTCGCATCATTAAGAGTGACGTCTCTTAACACCTGATGAACGTAGATCAAATATTCCCTCTCTTGTTGTTTAACTAAACTCCTGAGATAAATATCTGCCCTCTAAATGCTGCTCGTTGTTTTGACTGCTGTTTCTTGTTGAGCAGGTCGATGCTTCATGCTGCAGATAAAGAGCTTCCTGTGAGCAGGCTTGTTTGTGAAGCTCGATGAGAGAATGCAGAGGGTTTGTTTTCGGCTATACTCCCTAGTTGTGTTGTTTTCCAGAAGGAGCAGAGTCGCTGATGGGCGAGCAGAGGTTGAGGGAGAGAAGAGGAGACAGACAGAGAGAGATGGGTGCAGCTGTGAGCCTCTTTAGGATTCTCGCTCTCTACCTCCTCTCGCCGGGGCCAAACCGGCATCATTAGGTTTGGCAAATTACCCGAGCGGCCATTGTGGCGCGGCCATGGCACGTTAGTGTGTCTTTTTAACTGTGGCTAAACTCAGTCCATTCACTTGTAAAAGAGAGCAGCCATTGGCAGATAGTTGGCAGGTCGCACAGAGAGGCCATTCACCCCGGTAGGAAGGAGCTGAGAACACTGCCTCGGAAATGGTCCTCTCTGAATATTTTGATGGAGGGACTCTGGACGCCCTCTGAGAGCACATTCGCTCCAGTGCTCTGCATCTGAATTTCATATTCCTGCTCTTTACAGGTACGGGGGCTCCGTTTGAAGCTCTTCTGTTGGAGCATGAGAGACATTTCAGGGATTTTCTTTGTGTTGTTTTGTGAATCGGAGGAATTCAGAGTTCAGAATCGGAGGTTTTTTCAGTCTGGGGAGGTGGGGGTTTCGAGAGGGAAGGGGGGGTCAGTGTTTCTTTTAATGATATTTGGATAAAGTCCAAGAACAAGAGGGTTCAGACAAGAGGCTGATACACACAGGTCAGACGCTCTACTCGCTCCTTTTATCCCTGATGCCATGGATGAACAAATTACGGAGCTTCTCAATGAGGGAATAATTACTTGCAATTAATTTCGCTGTCATATATCACCTCAGTGAAAAGTGTTTCTCTTGATTTAATGAAGCGTACCTAAAGGGGAATTCCTTTGTTTTTCTGACAAAGCCCCCTTTTTACATATTTTTGGATCTTAATGTTGAGGGGAAGTTTTGGAGTTGCTTCAGCCTGCAGCAATGAAACAGGCTGTAACGGCTGCAACTAAAATCCCTCTAATCAAAGTGCATCCACTCAAAGTTCTTGTTTATGCAACTGACAACTTTAATTGTTTGACAGCCCAAAGTTTTTTAACGGCGTCTTGATTTGGCAACCGACAGGCAGAAATACACCTGTCATGTTTTGGTTTATGGACGCACAGAAACCAGGCTTTAAAGTTCTCACTCGGTGGTAAATCCACAGCAGCAGGGTGAAAATCTGAGCAGGGTTCCTCTCTGTGGGGGTCACATGTTCCCGTCGTGTTTCTCTCCCACAGTCCCAACACTCTCAGGTCACATGAATCAGAGACTCTGTGTTTCTAATCTCCGCTCAGATTGTTCGAGCTTTACTCTGTTTTTCCAACACATGCAGCTCCACGAGTCAATGAATGTTCCTACTCACTCCTGGCACCGCAAGAAAAACACGCCTGCATGTTTTGGAAAGCTTCAAGCTACGTTTCTGTCAACACCAGCTCCCGAATCTTAAATCTGTAAACCACATCTGACTTTTTAATGCCTTTGATTCCAGACTAGTATACCCAGCAACACGTGGGTGATGTGGGTGAACTGTGCGGTCACAGTTTGGTGAGTGGGGTCAAAGTTAGTTGTTGGAATATTACAGATGTGATCAAAGTCATGATACCCACATCACTTTAAAGAAACCAACTCTGAGTTGGGCTGGGATTTGAAAATGAAGCCAATGTGGAAGTGTAATCAGCTGCAGTTCCTTGAGTGTCCACTTGAGGCTTTTTCCATAAACCAGAGAGTCCCCATTAGGTCCCATATTAAAAATTCACATTACAGGAAGACATAAATACGTTTACAGCCTGGTACAAAAAGAAAAAAAGACAATTTTTTGGGGTAAAAGTTCTGCAAAACCTCCAAAGAAGAATGTGTAGGAGGATGTTCAGACGTACAAAACTGTAACCCAGGTGTCAACGCTGAAAATGCTCATGTCAGTCGTCTTTGCGTTTGTTGTCTTCAGGCTGATCCCAGAGGGAGAATCTGCTCCCGTACAGTTCCACATTTCCTCCCGCCCCTTGAAGAATCTGACTGACGTCTGCTGCAGCACTCTGAAAAGACAAAAAAAAAAAAAAAAAACAGAACACAAGGCCTCTCACCGGCCCGCCTCTGCACAGTGAGAGGAGCATTGGCACAGAACAAAAGCGAGGGCCAGCGGTGCGAGCTCGGCTCCTGTCGCTTCATTAGGCAGCAAAAACCTCTGCTGCACACACATTCAGTCCTCCTGGTGAGCAGCAGACAGGCTCACATTCACTGAATCCTCTCTGCAGGGTCGACGAGCAGCTGCAGGGAAACCAGAGGAAAGACAAAGTTAGATGGCAACTCAAGAAGTTGAATCAATCTCTGTCTTTTTTTTTTTTTTTTTTTGGTCATTTGTAATCTGCTAAATGGCTCAAAGATGTGAACGAGTTGCCCTAGCTGTTCTCTGAGACTTTTTTTGACAGTTTAATCACTTTGACGGCTTGAGATCGGACAGAAATTAAGCCTCTCTGAGCTGTTTGTTCAACTTCTTTAATCCAACAGGGCTTCAAACTAGAGCGTGACTGATACAATGGTTGGGTGGTGATTGATATGCCTTTATTATGAATTATTATTATAAGCCAAGGCTCACACTAACTTGTAAACATTAAGAAAACATATTTAGCTGTCGATGCAACACCATGCACAACAGGAAAAATGTTTCTACAATGATCTCAGAGCAACAATGTGCAGGAAATAACCACTCATAATTGGCTGTGATTGTTTTTGTTAAACTCTTCTATGAAAAATTATTAAATGACGGTGAATAGTCTGTTAATTGCGTTGAAAAATAGCTTAAATTGGCTTAATTTTGTTTAGCTCATTGAATTAAGCTCCCAGATATCTACTTGTTTTTTTGCTTTACGCATTTGTTCTTTAATGCGTATAGCAAATAAATATGTATATATTTGGGACCCTAACCCAAAGTCTTTGTGCATCATATCTGGAGTTTTTTTTAGGACTAAGTGATGTGCATTTGTTTGCCGACTTCTCTAATCTAGAAAAGGAAACAATAGTCCAGTCACTGATTGTTGTGTGTTTTATTTTTGTTGCATTTTGTTCCACTTGCAGCCGGCTCTCCTCTGCATGCCCCGTGCTCCTGCGCTAATCGTCCTCATATCCCGACTCTGAGCCGATCTGATGAACACAAACTGATCCCGATGTTGACACAAAGACCCCTCATGAGCCTCACAGCTCAGAGTTCACACCCCCGTGTTTGGCTGCCGGCCCGGGCCTCGTCTCTGAAAGGATCTCCTCAGTCATAAAGATTCCTGTTGATGGCACCCTCGGGTTTCATAGTCGGCCCTCAGAGAGCTCGGCGGCTCGGGGCCCTTTGAGGTGAATTAGCCGTGACCGAGTCGTGCTGACACGACCGAGAGCGGGCAGACAGAGCGAGCAGAGCTGATTTAGAATGATGGACGGGCACACAGGGAGCAAAAAGAGGCGTCCATAAATATTTAAAACGGTTCTCTTTTGCCTACAGGTGTTTTCTGAGGACTTAACAGAAGACTTGATGAGGTTGTAGCTATGGTAACGTCAGGTCTGGGGGCGTGGCCTCTCTCCCCCTGTGGCCTCGTGCTGATCGTCTTCTCGTCTGTGTGTCTGTCCGAGGAGACGCGCGTCAAACCTGCAGACTGCAGCAGAAAAGAGCATCCCGTCGTCTCCTACCAAGGTGAGGGGGGCTGAGATATCAACATTTTAAAACTTTGATGTGATACAAGTCAGAATCAAACGATGTAAATGTTCTGCTTCTGTTTTCCTCTGTTCCTCTCGCTCTCTCTGTCCAGCGTTGAGGCCGTGGGTGTCCGAGTTCTCTCATCGAGGAGCGAAGGATTTCTCTCAGCTGGCCATCGACCTGAGCCGACAGCAGATCGTTGTGGGAGCGAGGTGACACAGTTCAAACAAAGCCTCTTTAGTGTCGTTAAAGAGACGTTTACAATGAGATTAGATCAGAAGAGAAACTCAAACATCCTGTAAAAGAAAGATTTTAATCTTTGTAATCTTTGTAACATAACAATGAGGAAGGTATTTTACCTGCTTTTTGTAGTGTCTTGAGATAACACTTGTTGAGTTGACACTATACAAATACATTGAATTGAAATTTAATCATCAGATCACTGCTCGTCTAACGTGAAAAATCTCTTTGACAGAAACTTTCTCTTCAGACTGAGTTTGAGCAACGCGTCGCTGATACAGGTAAGACGACTTTCAGCTTCATGATTTGTTTATTTGTTTTTTGATTGAAGCAGAAAAGAAAGAATGAAGAAAACCATATAGCCTCAGCTGTAAAACTTATTTAGAAAAATGTGCAAACGTTTAAATTCCTCAGAGTCTGATGATAAATCAACAATAAATATGTTGACTAAATACATTAATTTGATATCAAAATGTCACTAATGAGTGTCTTTAAATGAAAAGTGATAGTTAGAACATCTCAGGGTTCCTCAGTCTTAGTCTGTAGGCATTGAATCTTTAACTTATCATGAGGTTGTTTTCAGTTTAAGGATCTTAAATTGTTTATCCGGCTGTAAACAAACAAACATTTTTCCTCTCCAGGCGACAGAATGGTCTCCTGATGAAGAAACCAGGCGCTCGTGTCAGAGCAAAGGGAAGACTGAGGTGGTGTTCTGCTTTAAGAAACTGAAATACACACTTATGACGGCTTATCCTCGGACTTTAATAAACAGAGTTGTGTTTTGTTTGTCTGCAGGAGGAGTGTCAAAACTACATCAGGGTGTTGTTGATAAGTGGGACGACGCTGTTCACGTGCGGGACAAACGCTTTCACCCCGGTCTGCGTAACCAGACAGGTGAGTACAGAACCTGCTAATTGGTGCTAATGTTAACATATGAATTAAGTAGTTATAAAATCACACAAAGACAGATCAATTAGGGCAAAAATATCACAAACAAGGTCCAGAGATTAAAGGTGAGAGACGGGTTTAGCTAAGGTGGCACCTACTAGACAGCTAGCAGCTCCCACCTGTCACTCAAAGAGACCACGCCCCCTAATTCTACATCACTGTTAGCCTTAATAGAATGTAAACAGAAGCCTCAGATTCTGTCCACATTTGATTATTTATTTAGTTTCCGGGCTTTTTTTTGTCTCTTCCAGATCGGAAACATGAGTCAGGTGTTGGACACAGTGAACGGCGTGGCTCGATGTCCCTACGACCCTCGCCATAACTCCACCGCCATGGTGACGCAGCGCGGCGAGCTGTACGCAGCCACGGTGATCGACTTCTCCGGACGCGACCCCGTCATTTACAGGAGCCTGGGGAACATGCCGCCACTACGCACGGCTCAGTACAACTCCAAATGGCTCAACGGTGAATAAACACGACACTCGTTTAAACCGTCTGTCCTCCTGGCGTCCGTTTCTCACGTTTCCTGCGTCTTCTCTGTCCCGTAGAGCCTCATTTTGTGTCCGTCTACGAGATCGGTCGCTTCGCCTACTTCTTCCTGAGAGAGACGGCGGTGGAGAACGACTGTGGGAAGATGGTGGTGTCCCGCGTGGCCCGGGTCTGTAAGAACGACATGGGCGGACGCTTCCTGTTGGAGGACACCTGGACGACCTTCATGAAGGCTCGACTGAACTGCTCGCGCTCCGGAGAAATCCCGTTTTACTTCAACGAGCTGCAGAGCACGTTCTACCTCCCCGAGCAGGAGCTGATCTACGGGATCTTCACCACCAACGTGTGAGTGATGAAACACGACCGCGACATCAGAGACCGCTCATTGACCTGCTGATGTCTAAACGTGTCTCCGTCCTCTCTTTCAGGAACAGTATCTCAGCGTCTGCCATCTGTGCCTTCAACCTCAGCTCCATCACTCAGGCCTTTAACGGACCCTTTAGGTACCAGGAGAACCCTCGCACCGCCTGGCTCTCCACACCGAACCCCATACCCAACTTCCAGGTACCTCACTTTCTGTTCTGATTCATTTATTTTAAGATAAGACTGTGGATGGAGTCGTAAACACCTGTTTCATTCACTCAGTGTGGGACTCTCGAGGAGGGGGGCCCCGGGGGGAACCTGACCGAGCGGAGCCTCCAGGACGCACAGAGACTCTTCCTCATGAACGACGTGGTCCAGCCGCTCACCACCAACCCGCTGTTCACCCAGGACAACCTGCGCTTCTCCAAGCTGGTGGTGGACCTCGTGCAGGGCCGAGACAGACTCTACCACGTCATGTACATCGGAACAGGTGAGCGAGACACCGGAGAGAAGCTGCAGACTTTACCCGACGACGAACAACCTGAGTAATAGATCCATTTTCATCCCGTCCAATCAGAATACGGCACCATCATGAAGGCTCTCTCCACCACCAATAAAAGCCTTCACGGCTGCTACCTAGAGGAGCTGAGGATCCTCCCTGAAGGGAAAATCGCTCCAATCAAGAGCCTGAAAATCCTCCAGGGCGACAGATCTCTGTTTGTGGGGCTCGACGACAGGCTGGTGAAGATCCCGCTAGAGCGCTGCTCCAGCTATCCAACGGAAAGGTAGAACACCTCCCAGTGCAGAGTGTTTGTTTGTCTGGAAATGAGAGGAGTGTTCAGGAATTAACTAGCAGATTTACACACTTGATGTCTCAGTTCGGGGTAATTTCAGTATTTGAAACTCTTCTGAATACTTTGTAGAAGAAAACTAAAAACTGTTGTGTTTGTCACTGACAGGCTGAGATTGTTATTCTTAGTGCTGCCAGAAAATGTTGATGATCTTGCTAAATATTGTACAACAAGTGCAGCAGTTTGTTTTATGAGTTCCTCTTGCAGCCTCGTACTTGAACCACATAAGACGAGCTTTAACACGGAGACAATCATTATGGAATCAATGATCTTACTGACTACATGTGCAGATAAATAAAGCATTTTTAAATCATGTTTCAAAGCGAGCATGATCGGGTCTCAGGTGGTTTTTATAATTCTGCAGCTGCATCAGTGACTGACGGAGTATTTTCTCTCCATCAGTCAGTGTTTGGAGGCTCGGGATCCGTACTGCGGCTGGGATCTGAAACAGAGACGCTGCACGAGGATCGAGGAGAGCTCCAACATGAACCAGTGGATCCAGAACATCACTGAGTGCCCAGTAAGACACACACACACACACACACACACACACACACACACACACACACACACACACACACACACACACGCACATTTTCCTGCTTACTTTAAAGTTTTTGTTGTTGTAATACCCACTTTGTCCACACGAGGCAGATGTCCACTACTAAAATACTATGTAGTAAAACAAAGCAGTAACCTCCAGTGTTTAAAAATGAAGCCGATCCTGAAGTGTAAAATCCTGCAGTTCCTGGAGTGTCCACTAGAGGCTGGCTGCAGAAGCACAGGAAGTCACATACACACCCATTCTTAAAAGCCTGTTTTTACAGCAGAGATGAACATGTTTACAGCCTGGTTCAAAAAACCAAACAGGTGTGATTAGCTCATGTCTCCATGGACACACACTGTACGGGGGGTGAATGTTTTGATGACTCATCAGTTTTGATTTGATGAAGGATAAGAGTTATTCACAATAAGGCGTGTAGCTGACCTGATTGACAGGTGGGCGCGGTGTAACGGTTTGTCAGGAGGTTTAAAACCCGCCTCAGCTCCAGTTCCTCAAATTTGGTGCATTTCGAGAAGCCTGACCTCGTCTCCCCTCTTCCTTTGAATCCTCTGCAGATGAGGAACCTAACACAGGATGGCGGTTTCGGTCCCTGGGCGCCGTGGACCCCTTGCAACCACAATGACGGCGAGGGCTCCGTCAGCAGCTGTATGTGTCGGTCTCGCTCGTGTGACGGACCCGTGGCTCGGTGTGGGGGAGTGGAATGTAAGGGATCCACTATCCAGGTGGCCAACTGCTCCAGGTACAGTCATGTCGTGGATAGCGTGTGGATTGCACGCCATCTTTTACCCTCATTTGGTTTAGTGGTCACAATCCCTCTGTGACACAGGCCCTGAGTCTTTAGTCCCTGTGTTTGGTTCCTCAGGAATGGCGGCTGGACTCCGTGGTCTTCATGGGGTTCATGCAGCAGCAGCTGTGGCATCGGATTTGAAGTGAGGCAGCGTTCCTGCAACAACCCATCGCCTCGCCACGGCGGTCGGATCTGTGTCGGCCAGGGTCGAGAGGAGAGGTGAGGAGGGATATGTTTACAGAAACGACATAAAGACAATAAAATAAAGCAAGATATGACACGTAACTAAAAGATCACTTTGGACAGGACTGACGTGTGTGTGTGTGTGTGTGTGTGTGTGTGTGTGTGTGTGTGTGTGTGTGTGTGTGTGTGTGTGTGTGTGTGTGTGTGTGTGTTTTCAGGCTGTGTAATGATAAAAAGCCGTGTCCCCTGCCCGTGCTGTGGACAGCGTGGGGCCCCTGGGCTCACTGCAGTGCTGAGTGTGGTGGAGGGGTTCACTCCAGGACCAGAACCTGTGAGAACGGAAACACGTGTCCTGGATGTTCGATGGTACTTTAGAGTCTATATTTATAAAAACTTAAAGAGGACTGTCAGGCCGTCGTTTAACTCCCCCCTGTTCTCCAGGAGTATAAAGCCTGTAACCTGGAGGCCTGTCCCGAGGTGCGTCGTAACACCCCCTGGACACCCTGGATACCTTTCAACGTCAGCCATGATGGCTCGCGGCAGGAGCAGAGGTTCAGGTATACATGTCGGGCTCTGCTTCCCGACCCTCAGCAGCTCCAGCTCGGCAAGAAGAAGCTGGAGACCCGGTTCTGCCCCAATGACGGGTCTGGAGCATGTCAGACCGACGGTGAGCTCTGGAAACAAAGTATTCTGAAATAAAAAGATGAATTCTGAAGTCAAGAAAAGCTTAGTTTCCCTTCGTGTCTTGCAGCTCTGGTCGAAGGTTTGATGAAGACGAGCGGTCATACTCTGTCCCAGCCTCAGGGTGTACGCTGGGGATTGTGGGAAACGTGGTCCACCTGTTCTCTGCCGTGCGCCCGAGGCTTCAGGACGAGGAAACGAAGCTGCTCGACGGCAGAGGGTCGGACCAACCCGAGCGCGTGTGTGGGATCACCTGTGGAGTATCAGGACTGCAACACTCAGCCGTGCCCAGGTAACAGAGAGTACCTGACTGTCAGTGTCGCTGCAGTGACATCATATAAACTATACTTTAATAAAGTGTGTGTGTGTTTTCTCAGTGAATGGAGCCTGGTCCTGCTGGTCTTCCTGGTCTCCATGCTCCTCCAGCTGTGGGGGAGGTCACTACCAGCGGACTCGGACGTGTAGTAACCCGCTGCCCACCAGTGGAGGAGACATCTGTATCGGGCTGCACACCGAGGAGGCGCTCTGTAACACACACACATGTGAAGGTTTGAAAACAGATCTTTAAGGGAAATCTGATTTGAATGATTGAAAGTAGTAAAAGCAGGCAGAACAAACCCTCTTTGTTTCTGCTCCTCAGGTTGGGGTGAATGGACCGGTTGGGGGGACTGTGACGATGAGGGTCTGCAGCATCGCACCCGTCACTGTGGAGACGAGCAGGAGGCGGAGTCTGGTCTGTGTCAGGGAAACATCACTCAGTCTCGTCCCTGTCAGCCTCACGAGGTGCCGGGTATGCACAGAAGAAGCTTTTCTTCAGTTCATTTCTGGAGCAGGTTTTGCTGCGTGTTCTAAACTTTCTGCAGATTCAGAGTCGCACAAAGGTTGAATCAGAGGCAAGGAAACGCTGACTCTTCTTCCTCTGCAGAAATTAAAAAGAGGAATTAATGGAGGCGTCGGCAGCGGAACAATGAAGCCTTTTTAGAAAATAACTCGTCTCCTCATTTCTGTTTGATCTTTCAGCACTGCAGTGATTTCACTTCACCACTTTCTTTGTTTGATTTCTGTCTCTGTCTCTTTCTTTTTTTTAAGTTATTTTACCAGGACTGGAGAGCCAGAGCTGTGGAAGTGAGTGGAAACTAATTATCTCTGCACACTAATTATGATTTCACACACACACGGACTTTCTGTGTCTTTGTACTTTCTCATTTGCTAACAGAAAATCTCTCCAGTTATCTCCTCGAGTAAATCTCCAGCTGGGTATCATCCCCAAGTCATTGTTGCAAACTAAAAAAGCTATTTGCTATTTTTCTAAACCTGTTGTTTGTTATATAGATCTAAATAATTGAGTGTTTGAAAGTCGACCTCCTCCTCTCTGTGTTTGCAGCCTTCACCTTGTTCCAGCTGGTCGCCGTGGGTTTGGCCAGTTTCTTTGTAGCAGCGTTACTGTCGGCGCTCGGCTACTCGTACTGCCACCACCTGAACCGCCCGTCAGCAGAGTCGGCCGTCATCCACCCGAGCACCCCCAACCACCTGACCTACAATAAGCAGGGCAACGCCACGCCAAAGAACGAGAAGTACATCCCCATGGAGTTCAAGGTGGGCAGATTTATTTGATTCTTTAGATGTAATCTCCTGTCACATTTTTTTTTTAGACACTTTCCTTTTTGTCTCCACTGTCCAGACGCTCAACAAGAACAACCTGCGCGTGAATGAAGAGACGTGCAACTACCTCCCGTCCCCGCTGCCCCCCACCAACATGTTCACCACCACCTACTACCCTCCCAGCCTGAGCAAGTACGACTTCCACCCGGACTCCCCGTGCAGGACCTACATGCACAGCTGAAAGGAGGCCACACAAACATGAACCATTCACCTCACACGCACACACACACACAATCTGCGAGTGTTTCCTCATTTAAAAGTCGGTAAAGAAAGACCAGAATCACGTTCCAGTCATATCCGTCCATCTTTACAGCTCATTTATCTTTGGCCCCAAAAAGATACTAAGCAACTAAGCTCAGCCGCCAAGAGACATAAATGTGCTGTAAAGATCGGTTGGATGACCAGCAAACAACTTTTCAAACTCTTAAGTTTTTCAAATTTATAATCCTCAGAACATCAGCAGAATCTCAACACAGCGTCGTGTGAAAATACATCGTTTGCACAATCATCAGATTCTCTTCATTCATGTTACCTGGTGCAGAGTTAGCCCCTTTGTTCTGGAGACACTTTTAAAAGAAGAGTCTCATGTTAAACTCACTTGTCTCCTTTCATTCTTAAATATATCTTTAGATTGAAGCGAGGGGACAAACATGAACAACGAGCGTCGTGTCGTCAGGTCAGATTTTCAGGATCTGCGACACGATTGCGGCGCCATAAACTAGCCAACATAGACCAACATAAGAGGTACAAAGACGCCTTTTTATCCCCAGATGGGACCTTGTTTTCCTGTTTTCTTTCACCACACCCACCCTGAGGTGCTGGGTTTGTGCTCAGGACACTGAAAGCAGGGTGAGGACCCGGGGGGAGGAGCTTGTGTGTGTGTACTTCCTGTTCCCCTGGACAGAGACGAGACTCATCCCCTGGTTGTTGATCTGTTGTCGCAGGTGAACAGGTGGGTGTTAAAGATGAATAAGAAGAATAATCCCATGATTTAAAAAAAAAAAGGACAAGTGAAGACATGGAGAGACTTTTTTTGTGCTTTAATTTTGATTGTTTAGCTGAATCCACATCGGACCACAACACTGAAGAGGACACTTGACTCACCTCACTTTGTACTGTACACTGTTAAATGTTTGTGTTTTTTATCTGCACCTGCTAAATCAAAGTCATTGATTTAGTCGGGATATCGGGCATTTTGTCTTCTGCAGCCACTCTTCTCTTCTCTGGATGTTGAAGCACAAACGTTCCTGTTCAAGAATCACCAAATATACTGCAGCTTAACGTGTAAATATCCGATTCACTCACCAGAACAGAGCGCTGTGTGTTATAAAGAAATGTGTCACTGTGATGCTTTTAATGTTTTTTTTAAATTGGGCCTTATGTTTACACGTTTTCACGCATACACAAAGTTTTAGAGAACCTGTGCCTGTGAGGGACAAAAACAACAACTTTGACACACTTCCTGTCGCAGTATGGTCGCCTGTTTACTTTCTACATCTACTGCGGCAATTCCAAATCTTTTTATGAAAACGTGTAAAAAAGGGGCTCGTTTTAAAAAAATAACTAAACTCTCCTTTAACTGTGCTTCAAGTCTTTTTACTTTTTTTTACACTGTGAAAGAAAATATGGAACAGCTGCTCAAAGTATAAAAAATGTTCAGCTGCAGGGGAATCATTTATAACGTTGACCAGTTCTTCTTCTGTTAACACTGTTTTTGTCAGTTAAGGAAAGAAAGGACGACTGTGACTTTATTTTCTTTGATATTTCTGAACACAAAGTGATAGTTTAGGCTTTTAAAACAATTGCTTGGATTCCCTCCACATGCTCCAGTTTCCTCCCACAGGCTCAAATGAAGCACCTTAAGTGACCTAGATACTTAAACTGTCAATATTTGTATAAATTCTACATACAGGCCCAGGAGGAGAATATGTAACCTTTAAATTTGTAAGTCCTGTGCTGTAAATCGTTTGTTGCAAATCTTGGGTTTTTAAACTGTAAATACAAAGAAATTAAGTCAGGTGTTTCCCACCTTATCAAATATAATGTAGCAGGAAGCAAACAGCTCTGTTTGAGGGCCAGTCTTTTAGGAATATTCTGTTTCCTATTCTGTTTAAGTTTGCAGAAAATGTGCAAAAATGTTTGTATGTATTTTCCCCAGATTGCTGAAAGGACATCGATTTATCAGTTGTCCTCCGAGGAGACACTTCTGTTGAATATGTTGTGGCTGAACTCTGCCTTTTGGACACTTTTGGTACTCTATATTTTTGTATAATGTAAAATGTGAAAAGAAAAACGATGAATAAATCCAGTTTGGGGCCAGGATTTTGGTCACAGCTGCTAAAGCCGGAATAAGCATGCCAAGAAAAACCTCTGATACATATTCAAAGAGTGACAGACTGTTGTTTAGCCCTTTCTTTTTTCTTTTTGAAAAATGTTTTTAGCAAAGTCACTGTTATAAACTGAAGAGCCTCCTGCAGACAGCCCAAGATAGGCAGGTGAGGGTGAACCTGGGGAGAAAGCTCCACGTCCCTGAGGCCTGATGTGGTCCTCTGACTCGAGGAGGGGAAGACGATCATCCTGACGGTCCCACGGGAAGATGGCCGGGAGGAGGCCTACAAGAGGAAAGCCACCAGATACTACGACTCGGTCCTCCATTTCCTCCTTTACATCATGCTTATATTTCTGCTTTCTCATGTGGGCAGGTTATGAGATGATACCTGAAGAACAGCAGGTGATTCAGCCTCACATCCTGAGCGAGCAGATCCACACCTGAGAGGCCTGAATGTGCAAAATCCTGATCACCTTAAGGCAGGTATCATGATGTGCTCACACCTGTGACTCAATCTGGGGATGCATACATTCTTCATTTACACATTTAAGACCATTTAGTTCTCGTTGTATAGCCGTCAAGTTTGAAAAACCGGGCATTAGGGAAACAGATGATTTGATTTTGCATTTTGACGGTAGGTCAGTGAACCCTGTGACATGTGTTGCTGTCCTCATTCTCGTTGCTCTTCTGTAACTTTTCCAAACATTGCAGCAGTGAACCGTAATATCTTTAACTCTGATCCGTGTGTGAAATAATTTACTGCTACTTTGTCTGTTTGTTAGGCAATTTAAGGTACCTGACTTCATCAGGTGACTTATTATCAATTTATGACTTATGTCGGCTGCGCTGTGGTCAAAAAACACAAAATAATCGCATCAGGGTGACAGTTCTCTTCTTCTAAAGGGATGTTGCTTTCAGGTTTGAAAGATTTCCTGTATCTGTCCTTGTGACAGCGATGATGCTGCTCAGCTGTCTGTCCAGCAGGGGGTGCTGCAGAGGGAGGTCAGGATGATCCATAATGGATAGAGTGAGAGTACAGCATGCAGCCTGTCACAGAGGTGAGCTTCTTAATGAGCTTGTAAACTCCAAGAGGAAAATCCCATTTTATTTAGCTTTTTTGCTTTCAAAAAGTCTAAAAAGTTTTCCTAATAACAGACCGAATCTCTAAGTATTGCTTAAACTATAAAGGTAGTGATTTAGTGCATCATGTCAGGTATTTGTGGAGCATCTCCCTCCAGACCTGCAGCAGTAAAAACAAACCTCACGCTGCACCTGCCCTGCTTTTATGTGATAATGCTGCCATCTGCTGGACAAAATGAGGAACAACACCAATTTTTTAAATTCTAAAAAGCTGCAGCATATCACTAAGATTGATGAATTGCTCCTGCCACTGTTTCTGATGTGGATGATAAGTATTGATTGATTAATTGATGGATAGGACTCTATTGTCAGACAGTCTAAAATACGTCTTACATCACAGCGGCGTCATTTACAACATGACAATTAAAGACAAGATGCAAACATTCAAACACCTCACTAATATTCAGAGGCCTTCAACGCGCTTTGATTCAGCTCCACTTTTAATTTGAGGATCGGCTGGTGAACAAAAGAGTTCTGAGGCCTGACCCAGGATTTTGCAGTCTATGGTTTGACCTCATTAAGATGCGGGACCCTGTATCTCAGGTGTGATGGTTAAAGTTCATATTCACTGTAAGCCAGCCTCAACATGAACATATTGTAGGCTGATTCAAAGAGCCTCTGCAGGGGTTCGCCTACAATCTGGAGTTGATGGGCAATATGTGAATTAATAAAAAGTATCTTAACATTCACAAAACACATTTTGCCCCCCCATGCGATGACGATTCTGAAGGGAAGTCGGGCACCTAATTATTTTCCGTGTTTCTGAGTTGTTGTTCTGACTTTAGCAGGTGTTCATGTGCATTTTACAACTCGGAAACTCGTTTTTCCGATGTGTCTGACACCACATGAATGCAGCATAAACCCCAAGTTGCTCCCGCTGCTTCGTCGGCGGTGTATGAATGGATGAGTAAACACTGATGGAGACGAGAAAATAAATCGACAAGCTCAAGTCCATTCAGCATTTTTTTAAAACATGATGCTTTATAGTGTTTTATTTTTAATCCATGTTGCCTGAAATAGTTCCTCTGTCTGTCTGAAATAGTTCCTTTGTGCCTCTTTAAGGCGCCCTACCTGTCAGGATAAATTAAGCCCCCCCCCTCCCGCCTGGCCCCTCATGCCCCCACCTCTGCTTTCTAAAATAATTCCGTCCATCACTCAGGCGCAGCTGCTGTTGAGTGGCGCGAGCGGCAGCAGTGTGCATGCTCCCTCCCGGCGCGCGACGCGGGAACACCTTGTCTCGAGGAGGGAAGAGAGAGAGAGAGAAGCAGCAGCAGCAGTTTGAAGCTGGAGCAAGCAGCCCGGAACCCGCAGCCCCTCCGCTGGGCTGGACCGGAGCAGCCCGCCCTCTGGACCGATGTGCTGGCAGAAATGTCCCGACACATCTACATCAGGAACAAGATCGGAGAGGGCATCCAGGCGCCCATTTTTCAGGTAGGAAACTTCTCAAACAAGCTGCTTTGTGTCCAAATATTAAAGTTTATTTTCTCTTATGAAGCTCTTACACAACATAACATTAATACAACTTTAATTTATCACACTGTAAGAGTTTTATTTTGAAATTAAGGCACCCTTTATTAATTAAAAATGTCTAAGCAGCGGCTACATCTTTCTAATTTAAACACATTTAGTTAAAAACAGGAAATACTGCAGACATTTTTTATAATACAAACTGTTAAAAACAGTCACAACATCTTTGCTTTTTGTTTGGAAATAGACAAAAGTTACCTTCTCTTAAAATCAGGGAAATTTAAACATGCATTGTTAGGATTTCATTTATTTTCTTGTATCTCTTCAGTTGAGGGTTTTCAGATAAGCCCGCCTCACCTTCACATGTGATTTATTTTTATTCATCTTTTCTCTGTCTGACTTTCCTTTCAACAAATTTAACTAAACATTTATAAAGTTTAACAGGTGGGGAACTCTCATTGGACAGCAGGAATTAACTTTGTTTTAAAATGCACCATTATAAAAACATAGTGTAAATAAATATCCTGATTCATCTCCTGCTATTTTGTCCCTTCAGAAGGACACTGCTGCATCTTTGAATGTCTCATTTCACTTTAACAAACTCTCAGACAGATCAGCTGATGAGTCCAAAGTAATATCCACCTTATGACATCACACATTGACCTTATGACATCACACATTGACCCTTTGTTACTGTTCCTTTGAGCTGTTTGACCTCACTTTGGGATCCCTAACCACTTCCTGTTTCCGTGCTTTATGAGTTAAAATCCAACATTCCCAGCTCCGAGATCCGAGGTCAATTGAACGCGCCATTAGGTCATGTCCTAACCTTGCATCTACCAGAGCTCATTACTGCATTTCAAAATAAAAGCCAAAGCAAGTAAAGTACTCTCACTTAAAGACAGTACAAACATTCAAAATAAAAGCTTAACTATTTTTATTTTTAAACCCAAACTAAGGGAATTTCAAACATGCGATTAAAATTTGATTAATTAAGATTCACTTTTGAAATAAAGTTTCTACTTGTACAATTCTGAAGACACGATTGGTCTTTTTTTAAGGATTTAACGTGCACACAGAAGGTTGTATAAGTCTGCATGTTTCTTTTATTGTCCTCTGAACAAATAAATCTTCCAAAATACTTTTAATTCAGCCATTAAATACAACAGAATAGCAGCACGTGCTTGTTCTTGATGTTTTCAAAAAGTACACTGTAACTATCTGTGAAGGTCTCTGTGCACGGAAAGCTTCGTTCTCCTCTTTTCAACAGATAATCGAAGGGTCCATTCTGACATAAATAGCACACTCGGCTAACTTTACCCATCAAAGCTCCTCTCGGCTTCGATTGAGAGACAGAAAGAGAGATGACGACCCAGATTAATGGCCCTGTTTCATAAAATTCAGGGAAGTGGGCTCTGACTCTTTGTCGGTGACATTGTCATTAACTCTGGAGGCTCGGAACAGAAATGGGCCAAATCACTGGCAGATAATTAATTCAGCTCCCTGGAGATGAACTCTGCGGTTATATTTGGACTCTTTTGGAGAGGAAAGAGAGAGAAAGTCTGTCAGGATCGAGAGAAGACAAACAGTATGAGACACATTCGGTTAAAAGAAAAGCCTGCAGAAATATACTGTAGATAAAAAGTGATTCTGCTGCTCTGGAGCTTGTGTGTTTTTTCTCTCGCTCTCAGGTGAATCGAGGGACTTATTCCAGGAGGAGCAGACTGAAGAGGTCTGATGGCAGCACCACCTCAACCAGCTTCATCCTCAGACAGGTAAACACACAAAGATGTAAAACACACCTGTGAAAATGATGATGAAGACGGAGGATTTGAGTCCAAATATTCAAACATGTTATGACTGCAACAACAAATCGATAAAATGCTCTGGATTTGTTTGGACCAGAGAAGGTAGACGGTTTTAAACACCCCCACACGGCCGTTTTGGAAGCCCCTCGGTTTGCCAGATATGAGAGCAGTTATCAGGTCAACAGGTGTTGCAGTGATGGAAGCGGTCAAGAGAAGTGGTTCAGATAGAAGTGATTGTACCCGACCTAAAAAGCCTCTGCATGTTTCTAATAAGCTCCACGAGCAGAAACGTGCTCAAACTAGGATCAATATTGGAGATGCTTTTGAAAAATGGAGAGAGGTTAGAACACAGAAAGGTTTACAGACCCATGCAGAGCTGGATAAACACTGAAGCTTCAGTGTCCACCACATGGTGACCTGAGTGAGCATCCACTCTAGAGAGGAGGTATAAATCCTAAATATAAATATAAATCCTTGGCACTCAAAATGAGGTCATTTCTCGTTTTTAACTCACTAAAATCAAAAAATCTATTCTTTTCAATTCCTGCTCCGGGAGTCGTTTTAAAGACAAAGATCTACAAACCCTGAGACCGAAGCATGTGACGCCTGTTTTAATTGATTTTTTTTTCTTAATTGTGCAGCTTCAGTTTAATCATTGTCAAGTGGATTCTCTTTTAGGAATAAAATCATCGCACATGGACCTCATGTGTAATCTTTTATCATCGTTTTTCCGCCCGCACTCTCTGCACCTTTAGAGGATAAAAAAAAGGCAGAGTGAGGCAAATGGAGGATGCTGCTCCCCTCTTTTACTCCTCCATCCCCCTCCCCCGTTTCCCCGCTGCCTCCTCACACTCATCCAAGCTGAGTGGACGGCGAGCCAGCCAATCAGCTCGCTGCACATTGGCTCTGTCATCAGGCTTGGATATTGAGGAAGGATCTGCTGCCTCTGCTGCTGCTGCTGCTGCCTCTGCTGCTTTATTGTGTGTGTGTGTACCTTTATTTGTGTATGTGTGTGATGAAATGAAATGCCAGCGTTGGGTTACCTCCAGGGAGAGCCTCCTCGTCCTATAATGTGAGCCAGCAGCAGCGCTGTGCGATCAGGGAGAAGCTGCATCCATCAGGCCTCCGGAGGACCAGGCGTGATCCAACGGGAGGAGAGGAGAGATCTTTTTTTTATTTTAAGATTATTCATCTCTGCTGTGGAGAGACGGGATTGTCGTCATCTCCCCCATCCATCCTTTTTTTTTTCTCAGCGGAGCCCCCACCTTCCTCCTCCTCCTCCGCCTCCTCCACTCTCGTTTTTTTTATTCCCCCTCGTTCTTCTAGAGGTGCTCGTTGGATTATCAAACCTCCATGTATGACAATTTGTACCTGCATGGATTTGAAGACTCGGAGGCGGTGAGTGTTTTCTGTGTGTGAATCTCAGCTGCACTCACACACGTTTTGGAGGCCTTTTTGATGGGTTAGCCAGCGGTACAGCGTAGCGTGATCGTGGGCTATGCTTGGCTGAAAGGGGGTTGGGTGGGTGGGTGTTGGTGTGTGTGTGTGTGTGAGGGCGGGGGTGCACATTAAGCAGATGGCTCCTGACGTGTGACATTCACACACTTTCTCTAAATATAAACCTACATTTGTTTCTGTATATTCTGATTAAATCACAACAGCCACAGCTAAGAGGAGCCATTTCTCACACTCCTCACCTCCAGGAGGGAGCCGAGCCGTGACTCAAAGAGGAACGAGGAAAGATTTTAATCATCCGTTTCCACCTCAAGGCCCGTAACGCGGCCACTCTCCTCACATTTATCACTTCCACAAAATTGGCTATTTCGTGTCTGCGTGTCCAGAAACATGCATCATGATGTCATTAAGTGGATTCTTAGGTTGATGAGTCACATGCTGAAGCTACTCCATTGGTTAATAGCCGGGATGCTACAGTACAGTATCAAGCATCCACACAGAGACACCGAATGTAGCCGGGATGACTCATAAGTGTTGGATTTTAAAAATGGTCTCTTAAGGCAAAAAAATCAGTCAGTGCAGTGGAGTATTTTGCTTCTACACTTTTTTGGTTTGCATTTAAATTAGTGTATTAAGTTTAAAATCCCCTCTGTGAAGATAGTGCAGCTCTCAAGCTTCGCTTTTACACAAAGTTGGTTGGACCTGCAGGTGACATTTTAAACAAAAATGTGTCACAAACGTATCGTGAGAGGCAAAAATGTCCTCATTTTTACCCCAATATGCGGAAGAAAAAAACTACAATTCCCAAAATGTAACTCTGGAGCGTATCCAATCAGAACCTTTCTACATTGCAATGCAGGCTTTCGGTCAAAAATGAATCATCCACTCTTATTGCTGAGATGATGCTGATGACATCACTGTGACATCATCAGGGCTTATTTTTCAGGACTTGTCAAAGCTCTCCAGATGAGACATTATACAACAGTTTTCACACTGAAACATCTTGTGAAATTGACTGAAAGCACCTTCAAAGGAGAATATCAGTATATTTTAATCTTGGCCTTATTTGGACCTTAAGGGTCCATAAGTTTGTGAATTACTCATTTAAAATCCTTCCTACATCACTCTCTTCAAAGCCACCGAACTCCACTGAGAACTCCACAAGATGCTGGTCGACCACCCCATCGAACAGTTTGATGTAACGGCCTAAATATACTGAATAAAACCTCACAGTCACAGAAAAAACAAACAAATCAGGGCAGCAGTAGACCAGCAACTCCTTTACTTTGAGCTGTAAAAATAGTGTTTTTGTAATTGGAGTTTGGTGGCTTTGCAGAGAGCGATGTAAACTGTTCTTACGGTAAAGAGTTCAATTATTTTTCAGCCTTGGATTTATTTTGAGACAATTTTATTGGGCTTAAATTGACATTTGCAAACACTAATTTGGGGAATTTCTAATGAGAGGTCCTTGTTTTTTTTTTTAACCAGACACATCAGTTACATCGCTCTTTTTAAAAGCATTATTTAAGTCACAGGGTAATTCAAATAAACTTACCAATGATTCAAACGACAAATGCAAGCAACATTTTGTGTATTTCTTTTACAAGATCCTTTTTTTTTTTAATCAGAAGCAGCCTTTAAATTGACTCCTATCAAAGCCAGCAGACTCCATGGACAAAATCAGTGGTTTGACTTTGACGAACACAGGAGATGCTTCTCCATCGCTGCATTGAACTGTTAGATTGTTAATGTTATTGTGTGATTCAGTAATACTGTTTTGGCTTTGTGTTGTCTTTAAATACACCAAAATCACAGGAAATACAATCGAATCAGGACAACAGCTGATGTCAAATTTGTGTTTTCATCAGGGGAGTCTGGCGGTTTTGATTCTTCTTCTATTCTTAAACTTAAAAAAGATCCCGTCTCACTTAGAATAACAACCTGAGGCTGTCTGTGACTAAAACATGAACTTTTAGTGGATGAACTTTAATATATTTCAGGATTACGTTGCAGCTATAACAGCCTGTTTCTCTGCTACAGACTGAAGCAATCCACAGAAGAAACTCAGCCCTAAAATATGTAAAAACTGGGGACAGATTTAGAAATACCCAGAAGAGAGAGAGGGAGAGTGATCAGTCACACTGTTTGTCTGTTGATTTTTGGAAATCCTACAAGCTTATATTTCCTCAAAGTAGGAATCCTTTTAATTCTCCCAAATGTTGCACTTCCTGATTAAATGAACAGCCGAGGAGTTTGCTGAAGTCAGGCCTCACTCTCTGCTCGCTTGTAAAAAAAAAAAGTGCTTAGCTCTGATGACTGTCCTGATTGATCTTCTTGAGACTTAATGGTCTCCTTTAATTGAATCATCATTACGACGGTAGCAGAAGAAAGCGCTTCGTCCAGTCGTGTCTCTGCAGAAAAAAATGGTGAATTACTGGAATTTTAAATGTGCAAGTCCAGCATGTTGGAGGTGCTGCTGTGGATACAATCCAAGAAAAATGGATGGCTTATCCCCACAAAGAAAACACATGACAGCAAAGAATATTTTCAGGATCCACTTTCCCTCTTAATTGGCGAAAAATGGTGTCGATTTATGCAGGGAAAGGAATTTAGGTATCACGAATTTAACTGTATTTCTCCTTCAGCTGCTTCTACTTTGTTTTACAGCGGCATCTTAAAAATCTATCAGAGCTGAAGCGCTTAAAACATTTATGTCAGACTTCAGTGATGACCAAATTGTCCCCACAAGATCTCTAAATAGTCAACTTGACATTGTGAGTTTGAATCCAGTCTAGACAGCTCCAGTGACTTGCTGTGTGTGTTTTTTTTCTGTTTGCAGGGCTCAGCTGATTCCTACACTAGCAGACCATCAGACTCAGATGTCTCTCTGGAGGAGGAGCGGGACGTGCAGGCGCAGGTCCAGAGCCAGAGCCCAAGCCAGAGCCAAGGACCGGGACAGAGCCGCCAGGAGAGGGAGCAGCAGGCCACCATTCAACTGGAGAGAGCCAAGGTAGCCGCTACTGAGCCAAATGAAACTGTGGCTACATTTATAGACACAAACACTGTTATGATGACTGTACTGATTTTCTGTCATATTTCACCACAAGAAAGTTTTTTTTCCCATTATGCCTGAGTACTTGTGTATCAGAGACTTTTATACAGATATAGAAGGGAAGGTGGAGTCCCTCAGGGAAGCATTCTTGGCCCATTTTTATTTTCAAATTATACCTATTTGATATTTGAACGCACTTAACCTTGTCAGCTATCTTTTTACGCTGATGATACTCAATTTTAGGATTCTGTTTTACCATACGGCCCAAGTCCACTTCTACTGCCTGTGTGGGTGGTGAATATATCGGTTAAAACGTTTCTAAATAAATAAGGAAAGTACAAGAAGATAAGTATTTAAAAAAGATGCCTAATCTCTTTTTCTCACGTGGTTTGTGTTTATGTCCTGCAGACTAAACCTGTGGCCTTCGCTGTGAGGACAAACGTCAGCTACTGCGGCGCTCTGGATGAGGATGTTCCCGTTCCAGCTACAGCCATCTCTTTCGACGCCAAGGATTTCCTCCACATTAAAGAGGTATATGTGCATTTTTCTTCTAAAAGAATTGCAATCAAAATGTTCTTCAAAACCTATTATTTTATCTATCCATCTAAGGTCACATATCCTCCTCCTCCTCCTCAAACGCCAGTTTAAGTCTCAGAGCTCCCCAAAACATGTCTGGGAAGTTTCTTGTTCTAAATCCACTCTGATTATGGTTTTATTTTAGATTCATTTTAACAAGATTGTGGAACAATGAGTTCCTGCTGCCACCCACTGTAGGTCTGCAAATGTTTTTAATCAAATCTGTGAACCTACTGATGACAGTATTTCCCTTTTTTTGTGTTTTTGCGCATTCTTTATGATCTGACCTGCAGAAGTTCAACAACGACTGGTGGATAGGTCGGTTAGTGAAGGAGGGCTGTGAAATCGGCTTCATCCCGAGTCCTCTGAAGCTCGAGAACATCCGGCTCCAGCAGGAGCAGAAAAGAGGACGAGTCCAAGGGTAAGTCCCGAAAAAGCATATCCAACACTTTCTCTCCTAAACTAAAAGACAGCATCCACATCCATATGGTTTCATTTCAAACTAAATAACCTTCCCCAGACGAGCCCGTACATTATTCTTTAAAATAACTGGGGCTGTGGTAAACTGACAACTGTGCACAATATAGCAGCAGAAATATAGCAATATGAATAAAATAAGGCATGTAAAGAAGCGATAAAAGCAAGCTATGTACCAAGTGCATGTCATTGAAGAATAAGATGTGTATAACATCGAACATTATCGTCCTTGGCTTGAGCTGCTATCACCTGTGTCCTGTATTGTTGTGTTAGCAAGCTAAAGTTAGACATTAGAGGTGCAAGCTGAAGAAAATCTAAAGCAAGTTTTTGACATTCCCACTATTCTCTGATAGCTAACAGATCAGGTATTTGATTTATTGTGCAGTAAAACAATCAAGCATTTAAACAACCCTGCCTTGATCGGGATTTTCCCTTTGCTACTTTGCAGTCATGAGTGCAGCTTCTAAAAAGATCAGAGTACCGTCAGGTGTTTCTGCCTTCTCCAGTTTGTGTATTCATCAGTCAACTTCACACGCTTACACATTTTAAGTTGGACACGCTCTGTGAAGGCTCAATTATGTGGCCAAAAACACAGCTGGCGTCCCTCCTCACAGCTCCTAATTAGAAATAAGATCATAAATCAGACACGCTACATAAAGCAGCATTTATTCCGTTTTTAAAAAGGACTAATATTTGGACCAGAATCTGCTTCTGACTGTGCACGTCGTCTGTTCCAGTCAAACGCTTCCAGTGGCCGTAGTTATCCCTCCTCTCCTCCTCGTACTGGATCCTCGTTGTGGTGGTAACATGTCCTGAAGGTTCAGCCATGCAGAGTTTGTACAGTAGCTCACATGCTCGTCCTCCAGCCTCGGTGTAAAGTTTAACACTAATCTGAGCAGACAGGAGTCTCCGAGCTCCGCTTACTGTCTTGGCTTCTTCGACTTTTTGTCACCCAGACTCACAAACAAGGAGCAACATTTAAACCCTGTTAACGAGGACTGCATCTATACTGTACCAGGAGAGGAGATTCACGCTCTGACTGAAGAGATTCACGCTCTCAGAGTACTCCACATGCTAACGTCTCAGCCGGCTTCTCCGCCCTCTGATTGTCAACTAAATGCACATTGTCGATGAGGGGGAGGAGTTAGTGCTGTTAACTCCTCTCTCCTGCTTTACGATTCTGCAGTTGCACTCACAAAACTTCAGGGGGCGCCAAAGTGCACCAAACCCAATTCCTACATGCAAACCATTATTTTTGACATTTTTACTTTATCCTCTGAATGCAAAATAAAAAATAAGTATCCCTTCTTTGATTCTATTGTATTCTTGTCTTTTCTGATGCTCTTTCATGATTTAGCAGAATTTTGAATCTGTGTTGTTCTCCGACCTTTTGCATCTTTTTCCCCCACACAGAGAGAAATGATTTTTAAGTTTGTCAGTTTGAATCTTTTTCCGTTGTTTTTCCACATTAATACCCAGGTGTGTTTGTGTCTTTCTTTATCCCCTCTTGTCTCTTTCAGTAAGTCTGGAGGGAACTCTTCTTCCAGTGTAGAGGATGAGGTCTCGGCCTCTATCCGCCCGCTCATTTCCTCCGCAGGTGAGCGCATCGGACAGGGGGCGGGGCTTCTCGTGTCCAGCTGTCAGCTTAGAGAGCCGACTAACGTAGACAGAATAAGCCTCTCAAACCTTCCCATGTCTCTGCTTAGAGCTTAAGGTTACTGCGTAGAGTTGTTGGTACATTTTCCCATGATCCTCCTCTTCCTCCAGTTGAGGACTGCAGGCGCTCTGAGACTGGGGCTTACAACAGTGAAGACTATGACCCCCCCCTGAACTGCACTCATGTGACTTTGTGAATATAACTTTAGGACAATAGAAGCACTTTTCTTTTTATATCTCGGTTATCCTGATAGGTTTCATTTTCTGACGTTTCTGATGTGTGTTTTTTTTTTTTTTTAATGAAGCATGTTTGAGTGTCTTTAAGATGTTTTGGTGACGTTGCCTCTGGCAGCAGCTTCTGACGGCTCTCTCACTGTGTTCTCTCTCTCCTGCAGGAAAACAGAAACAGAAAGTGGTAAGTTGGTGACGGTAAAAAACTCACACATTGAACATCCATCAAACTTCAATGCTACCTTCAGAAAACAACAAGCGAGCCCCCACTTCAGCCAAAACTCAGGGGTTTCGTCACCCTTTAAAATTCCCATTGAATCATGTTTCTCATTTAACCACAGAATATTTAGAACATTCTGACTGTTTTGTGTGTTTGTGGAGGTACTTTTGTCTTTCTATGGTGACGAGTTTCCCACCGCTGATTGATTATATTTGTGTGAACAGACGGAGCACGTCCCCCCGTATGACGTGGTTCCCTCCATGAGGCCCGTGGTGCTGGTCGGACCCTCGCTCAAGGGATACGAGGTGAGCTACTAATGAGCAGGATAAAAAACAGAGATTATTACCCGTTAAAGGGCTAAAACATGAGACACTGGCTGCTGGGGCTGAGGAGTCTCGGAGAAGCTGGGCCTTGGAGGCAGGATGTGACAACGTGAGCCATTCCTTCTCGTTTAGCCTCCACGGGTTGCAGTAAAAATTGTTGTGTGATTTGCAGATTTGTGCTTTTCTGTGCAGAGTATCCTCTTCTTCACAGTCTCTTAATTCCCATGAATTACTATGAATAATTACACCACCGCTACGATCTCCTGCCCCGTCTGACAGGGATAGTCTCCCGCTGTGAGGTGCATGTGTCAACAACCAGGTCAGGAGGATTTCAGAGGCAGTCCTCCTGAAATCCTCAATAAATACTTGTGAGTTCAGGTGTGAAAACGGCTCGAGTATGATCGCTTACTGTGGTGCTTCACCCGGCCTCCTTAACAGAAAGATGATCTGACCTTCATGAGACAACCCTGGTTAAATTAAGGTTAAAGAAAAGAGTATAAAGATGTTGACTGTAAGAGCAACATCTCCCCGATATTTTCTTCTATATAAAGAAGAAAAATTCAATTAATTGAGTAAAACAGCAAAATAATCATCTTTTGTAAAAAAAATGTTTTCTTCTCTACAGGTGACAGACATGATGCAGAAAGCTCTGTTTGACTTCCTCAAGCACAGATTTGATGGCAGGTAAGACACGATACGGCCTCTATTAATAGATTGTTTGGAAAAGGTGTCATATTTGTATTGAAGGTCACATATCCTCCTCCTCTTCTTCAGTTTAAATAAGTCTCAGAGCTCCTCAAAACATGTGTGTGAAGTTTCTTGTTCTAAATCCACTCTGAGCACACATTTTCTGAAAAGTGGAGCAGGCAGAAGATGGAGAGGATGGACTTTTCTCAAGATTGGGGGGTTTGTAGACGGACTAGAGGCACATATTAGAGTTAGAGGAACATGGGAAGAGGATTTAGCATAACATATGACCTTTAAATGAGAAGGAATTAAGATTCTGGATGATTCATGTTTGGGGAGAATAAACACATCTCACATGTTTTTTTTTCTGATTCTGAGTAAGGACTGTGTCTCCTCAGTTCACACTTCTTATTTATTAATCAAGAAAAGTGGTTTGACTGCAGCAGAAGGACAAGATACATTTCCAATAAATCCTCAAAGGCAGAAGCCTGCTTTATAGAGTTGTTATTATCCTGATCCAAACAGATGATTTCTGCACTTCACAGCTGATCGAACTCATCCGTTAAATGAAGAAATGTTTATTATTTTCTCGTCATTTTGCAGGATATCGATCACACGAGTCACCGCAGATATTTCTTTAGCAAAGAGGTCTGTTCTCAACAACCCGAGTAAGAGAGCCATCATCGAGAGGTCCAACACTCGCTCCAGCTTAGGTAAGAAGAAATCTATTATGTGCAATGTGTACATATGATACCTAAAATACTAGTCCTGGATCAGGATTTGGTCGAACAAATCTCTTTGAATGACCGGAAACGACTGCTTAAGAAAGATTGAAGAGGCCGCTTTAAATAATCATTTCTGATTTGATTGCTTGTCTTAATTATCTTCTTATCTTGTTTTGTGTCTCGTCAGCTGAGGTGCAGAGTGAGATCGAGAGGATCTTCGAGTTGGCCCGCTCCCTGCAGCTCGTGGTCCTGGACGCCGACACCATCAACCACCCGGCCCAGCTCCTCAAAACCTCCCTGGCCCCCATCATCGTTCACGTCAAAGTCTCCTCACCAAAGGTACTCAAAGTTTGTAGGGAAATGACAAAGATATTCTCTGTGTGACAAGAGCCTGGAGAAAGCAGCTCATTCTCTTTAAAGATCTGTGGAGTGTTGTTGGCCTGTTTAAACCTTTTTTAATTTATAATCCTGGGATGTAAATGTCCACAGCTTGGAGGAGACAAACAAACACCAAGATATGTTAAAGGTAACTGTATGTCTGTGCAAGGTTTCTTTATATTTACCACAATAACAAAACCAGCATGAAATACAGAACCTTAAAGCCACCCACCATCATGCAAAGTTTTTTAATTAAGAGTCGATCTGGAGTTCACGATGGCACCTTTGCATGAAAGAGAGTGGATGCTGCACTTCTTCTCTTTACACTGAGAACACAGCGAGCATCAGACTGAGAGTGGAGGCCCGAGGGCTTGAACTAAAGACTTCCTTATTGCCGCTGCAGATTGATAAACAATCGGTCTGCAAGTTTGGAAGTGAGTCACTTCCTCGTTAGGTGGCTTTCACACTTGTTTTACACCAAACCCTCTGAGCATGCATCAAGAAGACTAAGCATACTACCAAAAAGGGAATCCAACATCTTCTAATAATACTCAATTTGGTTCAGGCAAGGGGGGACAGTCCACTCTGATCCTGTATTTGATCATGTCTATAAACCCCTCGATTTCAGCCCTGTTCAGAACAGGCTGTTTCTGTGTCTGTACCTTTAAATATGTAAATGAGCTGTGTCTGACCACGCCCCCTCTCTGGAAGGACTTGGGTGTACTCTGTCTTTCTCGCTCCATGTCCTATTGTTTACGGTGAGAAGGCAGACTCAGAGGGCAGAACAAACACCTAGCTGTGGGAGTGTCACCCACCTGGGGGAGGGGCTACTGCCCTTTGTGATGTCATGAAGGGAAAATCTCCAAACGGCCTGTTTGAGCACACATTTTCTGAAAAGTGGAGCAGGCAGAAGACGGAGAGGATGGACTTTTCTCATCATTGGGGGGTTTGTTGACGGACTAGGGACACATCTTGATCCTGATTAATGTGTAAGACTCAGCGTCTCATTGGCAGCTACAGGTGGATCGTAACCATGGAGACTAGTTTGACTTGTTTGCAACAAAAATCACACTTCACTTCAGTTTGCAAAGCTGTAAATGATAAATTATGATTTCTTTCTTTACAAAGTCTGATGAGACACAATAACGTTCTCGGTTCTGTCACTAAGAAATGAATTTGTCTCCCGTTTCTCTTTATGAACTCTCATCATCGTTTATGTTCCCATCATGTCCTCCAGGTGCTGCAGAGGTTAGTGAAGTCCAGAGGGAAGTCTCAGAGCAAACACCTGAATGTGCAGCTGGTGGCGGCTGACAAACTGGCCCAGTGTCCTCCAGTAAGTCTTCATCATTAAACTGGTTTGACTGTTTGTGAAGCTCCTTGTTTCACTGGAAAATCTTATAAATGAAATGTATGGATGTTTGTCCGCTTAGTTTTCATATTATATATTTGCACCGTCAGTAAAATCCAGGATAACATCTTTCCTCAGTCCTGACACGCCGTGTGATTGAAGCGCTCATTTCTTCTCCCCTCTCGCTCTCCTCCCTCGACCATCTGCTTACAGGAAATGTTCGACATCATCCTGGACGAGAACCAGCTGGAGGACGCCTGCGAGCATCTCGCCGAATACCTCGAGGCCTACTGGAAGGCAACTCACACCTCGATGGCCACGCCCCTAAACCCCCTGCTGGGACGCAACCTGGGCCCCACCACACTCACCCCGTACCCCACCAGCATCTCTGGACTGCAGGTACACGGCCGCCTTTCCCACGATCTACTTTTGTCCTTTTATTGTATCGATGAAATGTTTGGCTTTGGAAGCGTTTTAGCTTCTTAACTCCTGTTTATCCCTGAGTGTGTTTTCACCGTGTTTTAGGGCGTAACAAGGTAAGAACGAGAAGGTTTAATTCAACATGGCAGAATGAGTGGACAGGCGGTCCTTTCTCATGCTCATTGTTGCTTTTGTTTGTGTTTAGCAGAGCCAAAGAATGCGACAGAGCAACCACACGGGGGACCACTCCACTCCCAACGAACGCCGCAATCTGATGACTTCAGACGAGAACTACCACAACGAGCGGGCGCACAAGGGACGCAACCGCATGTCTTCTGGCTCGCAGCACAGCCGAGAGCAGCAGGACGCCTACCAGGACTACCAGGACCCCTATCAGGATTCATACAAGCCACATCGCAACCGCAGCTCACCGGGCAGCTACAGCCATGACTCCCGGCACCGGCTCTGAGCCCGACTCTGTCACCACCGGGGCTAAAACGGGCCCCGATTCCACCCTGAATAAACGCTGCAACAGAGCCAAGAAGGTCCCAAATTGTACCTGTTTTTGATTTGTTGCTGTTTTTATCTTTAAAGGTCAAAGAAAATCATGTTTTAGTTTGAATTAAGCCACCAGGAATCCACCAAACAACAGCGTGAGTATTCGAAAAAGTTCAGGATGCCAACACTTACTAACGCTGATCCTCTAGTTTTTGTTTCTGGGACCTTTTGGGATGTAAAGCGCTGACGGTTCAGCAGACGTGCAGTGCAGACTGTGCTAGCTGCTAGAGCTAATTCTGGCTAGCATACAGACGGTGATGATGCACGACGGGCTTTTTTTGCGCCTGGAGCATCGCACCATGTTCAGAGGGAAATCCACTGCACACAGACTGCTGCAGGCTGCCCGGGCCATGTACAAATCCTCTCACCATTTAGCTTATTGCATGCTGATAGATGATCAATCTGCATCATTGATATTTTGTACCTAGCATCCTGGATTCTCCGACGACGAGGTGTAGATACGGAGAGGTCGAGAAAAGGGTTTGTGTGCTGAAGAAATCCGGCTGCTAGATTTGAAAACTGGTGCTTCACATTCCCCAAATCTTTTACTTTATTTTTAAAGTCACTTCTTTTTGAGCACGGCCAGCTTTTCTGTAGCATCGCTTTCGGATTTAATTTGACCCTCGCCGTCATGAGCGTGAGCTGAACGCGATGGCGCTGGGATCGGAGAAGGCAATACTGCTTCTGTTGTGGACAGCTGGCACTTAGAGAGTCTGGAGGAGGAGAAAAACTGGACGACTACATTCTGAGATGGCGTGTGTCCTGATTTCTCTGCCCTGCCAGCGTGAACAGATTTAAAGTTTGTTAGACTAAAAAAAAAACAAAAAAAAAAAACACACAGCTGCGTGTTTATTAGCTTTGAAATGAAGGTTGTACAGCGTTAAAACAAAGGTTAAGACGTCGATGCGTGTGGGTCATGCCTAATCAGAGTTCCTTCCCGTGTTTATTAAAGCATTCAAAATGTGACATGGCAGCATCGGTTGCATCACGTCGTTCATCCTCTGTGTAGCTGCCGGCATGTTGTCCTGACTGCAGAGCATGCTCCCTCCGAACGTTTAAATGAAAACTGTACTCGAGTGGATGTTGGTAGAGCTGTAGGGCGTCTTTGTTTAAAAAAAAAAAAAAAAGAGAGAAGGAAACGACGGCCCGAACGACAGACGGTTTGTAACTCAACGCTCTGAAGCTGAGGACGGAGTCAGTCGATTGCATGAGTGGAAAGTGGATGATTAGCGCTTTTTAAATTCAGATTGATATCAGAAGGTTCAAAGAAGCGTCTGTCTAACAGGACTAAAGGCCACGCCCCCCTCACCAATCAAGCTCAACCAACCCAAACGGAGCTTCTTCATGGAAACAGGAAGCTGCTTGGTTTTTAAATATTTTTGAACGGCTCGTTATTTAGGCTCTGACTTTAAATGTGATGCAGCCTTCAAATGTTCTTGTACAGGAAAGGCTCATTCTTTCATGTCGTGATTAAACTTAATAATCCCCAGAGTGCAATCAGTTCCCTCCCATGAGCTGGATTTAAAAAAAGGTTGTTAGAACATTTATTGGAAAAGAGCGATCACTGATTTCTTCTCAAATCGTCCATGATAACGGTCTTCCACGCGTCACAGTCCAGATTAGAGGTCTTTGTTCACTCCCTTTTTCTAAACATAAACTCTGAACCCGACTTGTTTTAGCCAGAGATGTTCAACTTTTTGAACTCTGATATAGTTGACAGAAATCTTTTTTGAGTCGAGCGTTCTGCAGGTTCTCTCAAAACTCAAAGATTGAAGTCGTGATCTTAGAACACAGAAAACAAGCTGCAGGGGGGGAAATGTCCTCGAGTGATTGTCTTCCTGATGTCAGACATGTGGATAATGTTTAAACCCTTCTTCTTCTTCTTCTTCCATCCTAACAGCAAAAATTGTGTAAAAGAAAACCGACAGTGACTGCTGCGGGTTCAATAGAGGATCCATTTCTTTGGTTTCTAAATATCGAGGATTTTAATAACAAACTTGTGAATCAGCTGAAGAAGTTGGGAGCTGCTGCTTTGAAGCAACAACTAGGGGGCGCCGGTGGCCTAGCGGTTAGTGCGTGCGCCCCATGTACGGAGGCTGTAGTCCTCAAAGTGGCGGCCTTGGTTTGAATCCAACCTGTGGCTCCTCTCCCTGGTTTCTGACTCTATCTGATGTCCTGTCTCTAAATAAAAATCCCACAAACTAACGTTAAAGAAGAAGCAACAAGCGGTCAGGAGGAGCTTTTTAAACTGGACCATCTTAAACGTCACGCTGTGTTTCAGATTCTGTGTTTGAATCTGTCGGGAGTAGACATAAATATCTGACCGTCCCAGAGAGTTTCACAGCCTGACACGCTTTCAAAACGACTTAAATTGACCTACATTTGTTAAAAGACCAAACTATAAGCATCCTGTGACGACATCTAACTGCAGACCTGACTTCAAACTCCGAGCAAATGTTTTTCTAGGCAGCTTCTGATGAACTACTTAGAAAATAAAGAGGCGATCACTTTGTTTTTGTGCAGACGTAAGGGGGATAAATGGTTAAGAAAAAGTCGTACAGCACAAAAGAAAAAGCTCAAACTTTGTTGGTGTTTGAGGAAATGTTCCTTTAATGTGAATCGATGTAAACGTGCACAGATTATCCAGAAGAATCTGATTTATTCCCGCTTTCTCTCTTTGTTTTGATCTGTTGTTTCATGGACTGTAACTTTAAGACTGCAAAGTTTAACAGATGAAGTGTTAAAGGGCATGATGTTACTGTTTACAAGCACGCTCATGCGTCTCATCCCGCGCCCCCATATAGCATGAATCCCATTGGTTGATTGAACAGGGAGCCATTTTTTCCATTCAAAATCAAGCCAACCGATGTTGAGCTGGGCTGCTTGAGACAATCAGACGGGATTTCCAGAGCTGTGGATACAAAAACAAA